GTGGCCTCGCTAGGTAAGGCTCTGGGTACTCCATGGGAAGTTCAGTTGTTGCCAGGCTGGGCTGCCAGCACTAACTCCTTATCTCCTGGTGGCCCCTGAGCAGCCCCACACCCACTGGCTGAGTGTCCCTGTGCAGCTACGGCGCCTCTGTCCCCAGGCTCAGTCCCTTTCCTCTGGCCCTGCCAACATGATTCTCCTCACAGGGACCACTGAGCTGTTCCTGTGAGCCCTACCCTGTGGTGGAAACTTCCGGTCTTCTCGGTTGCACAGATGATGTTGTCTATGTCCCAGGAAGCCCTAACTCCTGTCCCCTGTTGGGTGGTGGGTCATCCTGAGCTTGGGCTGGCCCCTTGCTTATCTTTTCTCACAGGACTCTCTGCCTCCCGACCCCGTGTGGTCATCCAGCTTGAATGTGGCGAGGAGCCCTGGGTTCTCAGTGGGATGGATGTGACCCCAGTCAGGAATGTCCAGAGGAGGCCCAGCCTTGGTGAGTCGGGGCTCAGGGTGGGTGAGCTTGCTTGGGGCCAACCTATGGCCAAGCTTCTGTCCCCCCTTCCCCACCCTCATGGACACTCCTTTCCTGCCTCCCACCCAACTCCCTTCTGTTCTCCTTTCACCATTAGCCTCTTCTGGAGGCAGTGGCCTTGGCTGTCCCTGAAGGGGGAGCTCTCAGGGCACCCCCAGGCTTGGTGAGACCTGCACAGGATCCCACCCTCAGCCAGGCTGTGTGGCCTCAAACCCTCCTGTCTTGCCTCACCCCCTCACCTGTGTGTGGGGCCATTCCTTCATTCGTTCATTCATGTCTTCATTGTTTCTTGAGCACCTGTGATGGTCAGGCCCTTTCCAGGCACTGGGGACACAGCCTTGACCAGGATGTTCCTGGTCCTGCTTTTCTGGGGTTGACTGTGCTGGGGGAGAAGCAGTTGGTAAACAGTTCATAAGTAGAATCTATAGTATCAGGTAGCCATCAGAGTAAGGAGTAAAAGCAGGCTGGGGAGTACCCCCGGACGGGAACCATGTCTGGCCCCTGCTTTTCTCCCCAGCCTCACACACCCAGTCCTTGGGGTCCCCCTTGCCTGCCGACTCGGCCTGCCCTGGTCATGCCCTCCTGGCCAGGATGACCTAGGCATCCACAGTTTTTGTGCCTTCAGGTTGCCACCGTCTGGCAGAGGACAGAGATGTTTCTGGAGAAGCAGCATTGCCAGGGGCCTTCCGGGATAACTCCCCTCTGGCACCTACTAGGATTCTTCCCACCACTGGTGCCTCTGAACGTGGGAAAAGCCTGCAGGGTTGGCGTGGCGCCTCTCCATCTCAGGAGAGAAAACCCACGGGGGTCTCCGTGATCTACTGGGAAAGGCTCCTGCTGGGCCCAGGCAGCGGCGAGCCTGGCGTCAGCCTGCGGCTGACCTCCCCGCTGAAGGCTCCGGAGGGTGGCGCCCCCAGGGAGAAGGCTCTCACAGACCGCCCTGCGCCGGCCAAGCAGCTGCGGGTATCGGAGCGGCAGAAGCCACAGGCGCGGGAGGCTCCTGGGAGAGCCTTCCCGGGCGTCCTAGACCTCCAGGCCGCTCACGCTGCAGGGGAACAGGGAATGGGCGTGGCTTGGCGCGAGCTTCCGAGACTCCCCGCCAGCCAGGAGCCCCCGACCTGGGATGAGCTGGGCGAGGCCCTCCATACCAGCCCCGTCCTCCTCCCCGGGGAGAAGCCCTTCGAGTGCAGGGCGTGCAGCAAGGTTTTCGTCAAGAGCTCCGACCTGCTCAAGCACCTGCGCACTCACACCGGGGAGCGGCCGTACGAATGCGCACAGTGCGGCAAGGCCTTCAGCCAGACGTCGCACCTGACGCAGCACCAGCGCATCCACAGCGGCGAGACGCCCTACGCGTGCCCAGCCTGCGGCAAGGCATTCCGCCACAGCTCCTCGCTCGTGCGCCACCAGCGCATCCATACGGCCGAGAAGTCCTTCCGCTGCGGCGAGTGTGGCAAGGCCTTCAGCCACGGCTCCAACCTCAGCCAGCACCGCAAGATCCATGCGGGCGGCCGGCCCTACGCGTGCACACAGTGCGGCCGCCGCTTCTGCCGCAACTCGCACCTGATCCAACACGAGCGCACGCACACAGGTGAGAAGCCCTACGCCTGCGCGCTCTGTGGCGCCGCCTTCAGCCAGGGCTCGTCGCTCTTCAAGCACCAGCGTGTGCACACGGGCGAAAAGCCCTTTGCCTGCGCGCAGTGCGGCCGCGCCTTCAGCCATAGCTCCAACCTCACGCAGCACCAGCTGCTGCACACAGGCGAGCGGCCCTTCCGCTGCGGGGACTGCGGCAAGGCCTTCGCCAAGGGCGCCGTGCTGCTCAGCCACCGGCGCATCCACACGGGCGAGAAGCCGTTTGTGTGCACACAGTGCGGCCGTGCCTTCCGTGAACGCCCGGCCCTCTTCCACCATCAGAGGATCCACACTGGCGAGAAGCCCATGCGGCGGCCTAGGGCGGGCCTGCGCCTCCAGGCGAGACCTTCGGGGGCGTCATCAGAAGGCACGCTGGGGAGAGAAGCCGGGCCCACTCCCACCTCGAGCCCAGCTGCAGCTCCGAAGCCGGCTGAGGCCTGAGGTGGCAGCTCGGACCTTCGCTGGCCTGTCATGAGCCCCTTCCACGGATAAAGGCCGTTTCCGCTGCACATTCACACTTTGGAGAAGCCCTGTGTGTGCACTGCCATCCTATCTGCATGTGGTCACAAGATTTGCCACTTCAGCCACAGCTCACGCCTCCATCCCCAAGAGGTCATGCTCCAGAAAGATCAGGGGGATGGACACGAAGGCTAGGATTTTCGTGAGTCAGAGCCTTGGCAATCAGAGCCAGTAGGAGGTCAGCACGGTGGTGCCACTTCATGCCTATTGTGACCAGGCGCTAAGGTGAGGAGGGGTGGTGCAGGGATGTGGTGGAGGTGGTCCAAAAGTTTCTGACTTCCACACATAAACTGGCCCCGGGGTGGACGCTCAGGATGCCTACTCACTCTACCCCCACGCTGGGCCTCAGTTCATCCTAGGCTTCCTGGGAGTGAGCCCAGTGGACAGGAGGTCATGTGGGGGTCGGGTGCTGGCCTCAGGCAAGTAGCTGGGCTCTGAGCCTCAGCTGCCTCCTCTGGAGAAGAGAAAAGACAGATTCAGTTCTGCAGAGGGTATTTGCAGCACCTTGACAGGCAGTATCTTGATAAGGACCAACACATGCCAACTGCCAGCCGCTGTTCTGAGTGCTGCAAAGTGTCTCCTGACAGCCCTGTGAGGTGGCTAGTATCCTCACTTCTCAATGAGGAAACTGAGGCACAGAGAGGAAATGTAAGTTGTACACAGCAGAACCAGGACTTGAACCCAAGCCTCTGGCCCAGCATCCAAACAGCTCACCACCACACCCAGATGCTCTAGTCTGCCAACTGTGAGCGCTGAGTGGGGCCTGGCCTGGCTCCCAGCACATGGCAGATTTACAGGAAGTGGAGGAGGTGGAGGTCATAGGGAGAAAGCCAAAACGATGGCTCCCCAGCCATGCTCGTTTATTCAGGTTCTCATCCAAGCCTCAGCATTGGTTGTGTCCTGTCGTTACCAAGGTCAGTGGTACAGGAGCCTTTCCCTCCCCACTACCCTGACAAGAGGTGACATAATAATAGATATCAGATGAGACAAGATGGGGCTGCTTGATTCTGCCAGGTCCGGTGGCCATGTGCCCACCTATTCTCTTCCCTCACTTGGAAGGAGGACTTGCCCCAATGGGACTCGCTGTTACCAAAGGCTGTGTGTGGTACCTCCATCCACCAGTGTGACACCCCCACATGGTGGGGACACTGCAGCAGACGCGTAGGGTGGGGTTCTAGTTTGCTGCCTGTGGCCCTCAGCGGACCAGGGCCCATCTCGACCTCGGGCCTCATCCTAGGGAATTTAATGGTTGGTTTACTGTGGGGGGGGAAAAAAAAGACTAGTAGTTAAAACTTGGAATGGACATACATTGTAAATTGTTGCACAACACTGGAAGGCCTCAGCCTCTGCTTCCAGGTCATGGTTCAGAAAGTTTTAATAACACGAGTCCAAAGAGGCTCCTTGATAAAGGTTTCTTTTTAAAATGTGTGCTGACGCCTCTTTCATCCTAAAACAATGCAGACATGCCATCGAGGTGTGTCATTATCATAGAGCTCTGGGGATTTGGCTTCAACCTGGGTCCCGTTGAGAGGCCATAGGATAGAGATGCAGCCTGTCTGTGGCCCACAGAGAGGCTGAGACACCTGTGTCCCCTTGGCAGCCAGAGGTGAGTAGGGGACAGCCAGGAGACCTAGGCAGGGTGGATGGGGTGGGTTTGCCCCAAGCAGCAGCTCTACTAGATGAGCCTGTGGATCCAGGCTGTGGAATCTGAGGCAGGGGTCATGTGAGATGACCTGAAAGGTTGACCCCAGGCCCAGTGGGTTCTCTAGGCCCATTACCTCTAAGACTTGGCAGCCATCTGCCATACACAATAAGCTCAGACATGATGCCCCCACTCCCCACCTGCCAGCAAGGCCAGACGTAATCACCTGGCCCTGAAACCTTATAAGTTCCTGCAGGGAGGAGAGAAATGGAGATGAGGAGAGGAGTCATGCAGAACCTTCAAGAGCAGGTCATCCAAGCCATTGTCCACTCCTCCTAGACTCATCTTTCCTCTGCTCCGGTCCACATGCTGGCCTCACCCCCATCTCGCCTTCCCCCAGGCTGACCTACAAGAGGGAGCCTTAAGAAGGCTCATCAGCCTCGGTCTGCACAGCTGTGAAATGCAGACAGCACCACCCCCCCCTCGCCCCGGCTGACAGAGGACTCTTCTGGGGACCCCCATGGAGTTTAGGAGCAAAGACATTTATCAAGCAGCAAATGGGTACTGAGTCATATGCAACCTTTTCTGCACCTTGAACAGAAACTCCTGGAGCCCAGTTCTCACCTTGAGCTCTCCTAGTCCCTCAAGCTGGACTGATGCCCTATCCTGCCTCCTATGTCCCCTTCGCCCCCCTGGCCGCCTCCCTGCTTCACTTAGCCTCCCACCTGTGTGCTTGGACCACGCTATCCCTGAGTTCCTCCACCCTCCTTGAATCCACAGGTCCCCATCCCAGGACTGGCCAGTGACCCCCCCCAACCCCTGTTTCTATGGGAACACCAACCATGAGCACCTGCCTTCCCCCACATTTTAGCCCCTAAGTTGTCCTCCCCCAAACCTCTGTGGTCATGTTGGGCCCTGTCCTGCCAGGTTGGCCCTTCTGCTTTTAATCCTGAACAGGCTGTGACTATAAAAGTGTCCCTGTGCTTTCTGGATCAAGATGATGAAGGAGGAGTCGACAGCAATAGCATTCTGAAGCTAGGAGGGGATGGGGAGCTGTGACTGATTTAGGGAAAGCCAAATACTGAGTTGGCACTGGGAGAAGTGGAGGAAGGTCCCACCAGGCTTACACTGCAGAACTCCAGGAGGCTTGAAAACCAGCAGCCCCCTGGGAGGGGAGACTTCAAACAAAGATGGCTGGGGAGAGCTACTGGAGAAGCTGTTAGAGCCCCAGCTCTCTCCTCACACAGTGGATGTCGGTAGAGTCATTTCTGGGGCATCCCCACAGTCCCAAAGAAAAGACCTAAGCCCCCACAAAAAAAAGCCCAATCTGATGATGTTACTGGGAAGAGGACAAGCCCCAGCCACGCACATGCTCAGAGCTTCCCATCAGTGTTTAAGATCACTGCTCTTCATCAGGAGCTGGCAGCCAGGGATTCCTAGGCATCCAAAGAAACCAAAAAGGCAGATGCAATTTAGGATTGAATAAGTCATGGTTCAGCCACTTGATGTTTGGAAGCAAAACTGAGCCCGTCCTACAGTCAGATTTTAAAAACGATAACACTGCCTATGGAGATAATCTAAAAATAAAAGTCACCCTTACTTGTTCTGGTCCCCAAAGTAAATGAAAGCTTGAGCACATCCCATAAACCTAGACCAAAACCTGCATCCCTCACTTTGCAATACTGATATCTGAAGACATGTCTGAGATTCTGAGGGTATAAATAATGGGACAGTCTCCTCATCAGTAAATGGGTGCCCACCCGAGTCTCTGTGTCCCAGCAAGTCCGCAGGGGGCTCAGCAGAGGAAGAATGAAGGTCCCCAGCACCCTCCTCACTAGAGAAATTCCCGGAGATGGAGGAGGAAACCCACGGATCAGGCCCGCCTTCCCGGCCAGACGTCGCTGCCTCCTGGGACCATGTGGAGGCGTCTCGAACTACACTACCCAGGCAGCCACTTCCGTCCTCCCTGGCGGACAGGGCTACGCTCCGGCCGTTGCCTTGGAGATAGCGAGAGGCGGGCGGATGTGCTCTGACGGTTACCAAGGGGACTGCTGGACGAAGAGAAGGAAGCCTCGGGAAGAGCGTCGAGGGAGGAGCCTCGGCGGAGTACCAGCTCTGATTGGCCGAAGGGACACGGTACTCCCCACTCCTCCCCTCGCCCGCCAATAGGAACCGGGTCCGTTGTGCACATGCGCAGGATTCTAAGGTACCGTCCATCACGGCAGTCGGTGAGTCGAAGGGCTCGGATATAAAGAAAAAGCGGCCACCAGTGAGGGGAGGGAAATCCCCAAACTCTGCGATTCTGCAGGCTCCTCTAAGAGGGACGGAGCGCCTCTCAGTCTTGAAAGGCCTCTCAAAGCGACCGTCCGCTGGCGGAGGCCACGACTGTCCTTGCTTGCTGAGGCTCATGGGAAACGTAGTCCAAGGGGGTGTGTGTGTGTGTGTGTGTGTGTGTGTGTGTGTGTGTGTGTGTGTGTGTGTGTGTGTGTGTGTGTGTGTGTGTGTGTGTGTGCCTTCTGCGCAGGCGCATGATTGGCCAGGGCGGTGTCGCCAGGGCAACGCGCGGAGGGGCGGGCCGGTGCGGTCTGCGGAAGGCGGGCGAGGGGGTCGCGGTGCCACTCACCGGAAGTGGCCTCAGGGCGCCGGCGCGGCGGTCCAGGTGAGCGTGGGCCTCGCTGGGCTGGGCGCGGCCTTTCCGACCCCGGGACCCAGTCGGCCCTGCTCCCTGCGCTACCTCTCGACGTGCTCTGTGCGCCCGGCCGCCGAGCCTTTGCCCAGGCCCCTCCTCCCGCCACAACACTATTCCCCCTCCTCCGGGAAGACCTCCTCCCTCCCTTTCCTTTGGGAGACAGACTCTAGAGGTCAGGCCTGGTCCAGTCCGTCTGACAGTCCCCCAGGTGGGCGCGTTTCACTCCAGACCGTCTTCGGGCTCGGGACCCAGTTGTCCACTTACGCGTCCACGCAACTCGTGGCTTCCGTATTGTTTTGCTTTTCACGTGCACGGTCCGGACGGTGTGAGTCATCCTCGGTCCTCTGTGGTCAGGCAGCGAGCAGGTTGTCCCAGGGTCCGCATCAGCCCTTGCCTCCACCCACGGCGGAGAAGTGCCTGTCCCTGCAGCCAGCCGTTCGGTGCCCCGTTTCAGTCAACATGTGCCGGAGACCTGGGCACAGACATGCCCCGCCTGGCCCCATGTCCTGCTGCTGACCTTCCCGTCCTCATGGCTCCGCCCATGAGATCACAGCCCCACCGCCTTCTGGCTGTCCCTCAGCCTCTTTCCGGATTACTGCTTCCCTCCCTGCTCTGCTGGGCGCCCTCCGTGGCTCCTCAGCCTGGACGCCCGTGATGACTCCCCTCACCTACCTCTCCACCGTCGTCTTCCAACAGTCCCTTGTTGTACCCAAATGTTTGCAGTTTCCTGGAAGCTCCACTGGGCAACTTGCTTCCAAGAATTCGTCCACAAGGCTCCCTCCTGCTCTGTTTCCTTTAGTAGCCAGCTCCTGTGACCCCTCCCTCCGTGAAGCTTTCCTGGCCTCACCCATCCCCAAGCAAGGGTCCTCTCTGTCCTGGTCCCAGCCCCCTGGGGCTGGGCCTCTGCACGTGTCTGCCTACCTGGCCATGGTCTCTTGGCCAGTACCCTGATCCTTCCTTTTCTGCAGGTCCCTCTTGGTGGCTCCAAGAAGACTTCTGGTACAACAATGCCATCCCCACTGGGCCCCCCATGCCTGCCCTCCGTGGACTCCTTGGCCACCCTGGAGGAGCCTGAGGCAGCACGCCTGCGTTTCCGGGGGTTCTGCTACCAGGAGGTGGCGGGTCCCCAAGAGGCCCTGGCCCAGCTCCGGGAGCTTTGCCGCCAGTGGCTGCAGCCAGAGGTGCGCTCCAAGGAGCAGATGCTGGAGCTGCTGGTGCTGGAGCAGTTCCTGGGCACCCTTCCCCCTGAGATCCAGGCCTGGGTGCGGGAACAGCGGCCAGGCAGCCCTGAGGAGGCTGCAGCCCTGGTCGAGGGCCTGCAGCATGACCCTGGGCAGCTGCTGGACTGGGTGAGTGTGGCTGGTGTTGGTTTCTTGGAGGAACACAGCAAGACTAGAGCCCCCATGACTTGCCTCTCCCCCTCAGATCACAGCCCATGTCCTGAAGCAAGGGGTGCTTCCAGCAGCACAGAAGACAGAGGAGTCTTTGGGGAGCCCCCCCACTTCAGGGACGGTGGAGGCCCTCAAAGCAGCCTCTGGCGAGGAGCCACAGGACGCCCAGATGGAGGGATCTGCCCAGCTCAGCTGCAGCGTGAAAGAGGAGCCTGATGCTGATAGGCAGGAGATGGGTGAGAGGGGGCCACAGTGGGGTTGGTGGGCTCCTGGAGGGAGTGTGGGCATCCCCTGATAGGGTGAGGATCCCAGGAGATGCTGTGCTGGGACGGGGGACAGAGGGGGGGTGTGCTCCTAGAGGGAGTGTGGATGTCCCTAGGTGGGATGGGGACCCAGGAGGGTCTGCAAACTGCAGACCCTCCCCTCTTGGGTCCCCGGGTGGTAGGAGGAAAGGGTTGGCTGGCTGGCTGCCTGTCATGTGACTGGTACACATGGTGGCCTCCTGCCTGCTGGCCAAGGAGGACCAAGGCTGCACCACCAACACTAGCTCCTCACCTGCCCTGGCTCACATGGGCAGCCCCTGACTCCCATCTGCCTCGCTTCCTAGCACCCTCCAGTCCCCCAAATCCAGCCCCATCCCATGAGGGGCGCCTTGAACACTGGGAACTGGCCTCTGCGTCCTTCCACCCACCCAGGATTCAGGTGAGCAGTCCAGGTGGGAGGTACAGGACCCCAGTGGGAAGGGAGTGTCCCTGGTGGCCACTCTCTGCCTGCCAGTTTTCCAGTCTCCTTGGCTAGTGGTTCCTGTGCTCTTTGCTGCCCAGAAGTGGAGTTGGCATCAGGGTGCCCCTTGCAGGTCCTAGGGGACAGAGGAACAAACCAGTGGTTTCTTTCTGGTTGGGAAGGATTTTTGCCTCAGGCCATGGCTTTAGAGTGACTGGAACCATGAGGCTTGGCTTCCTCACTTACAGAGAAGTCTGGGGAGAGGGTGGGGTTCCAGCTCCCAGCAGTCCTGAGCTGGCACCTGGGGATTTGAAGCCTCATAGGCAGGTGGGGAGGGGACAAGATGACCAATGCTGGCAGGAAGCCTGAGCTCCACACAGCAGTCTGGTCTCCCCAACACACCTGAGATCAGAATGGAGATGCTCTTTGTCAGCAATGCCTGCAACCCCCTTTCTCCCAGGGCCTTCCTCAAAGGCCAGCCTGCCCCAGCTGCAGCCAGCTGGCCATAGAAGCTCAGCTGAGGCCCCTGCTATCTGGAGCGCATGTTCCTGAGTGTGGGGAGCAGGAGGCCTGTCCTCCCCTAGCAGCTCTGCTCCTAAACCATGCCACTCAGGAGCATCCCCGGCGGAAGAGCTGGTTGAGATATGCTTGGAGGCTGAGAAGTCCCCCAGGCTCCCTCTACAGCCTGATGGCACAGAAGGAAACCGAGGGGGGCAGGAGGCCACATACCCTCCAAAGCCTCCTCTTCTCCAGCAGCACCATCCGGGCTGTGGCTCTGTGTGGCTGCCGCCTTCCTGCCCTCCTTCCTGCCCCTGGAGTCACTGTGGCATGTCTGTCAGGATTATTTTTCCCAACCCAGCAAAGCCAGATGATGGGATTTTGGGAGGTGAGGAGGGCAGACCCCACGGGCAGGGAGTGAATCTCTTGGTGAAGCTGAAAGGTCCTGCGACCACAAAGCCTGGGCCCAGCTCACCCTCTGGCAATAGGTAGCAGCCAACCCACGCACCTGGTCCCTTCCTGGTCCCTGTCCTGAGCTGTGTGGCCACACCTCCTGACTCCAGTGCTCCCTGGTCCCTCCACCTCCCCATCTCCCCACAGCCAGGTCCCCACCTCCAGGAATGCTGAGGCCCTGGGAAGCTCCCCAAGGAACATCTGTTACTCTTGTAATGTGGGCTTGGCGAAGAGGTGGCTCGGGTCTCCTCGACTTCCCTGGCCTTTTGTTCTCGGTGCAGCACAGATTATTCAAGGCACAGGAATGGGGTCAGCACATCTGTTCTTGCCTCAGCCGCCCACAAAACCCATCCAGGGGTCCTCACTTTCAATCTGTCCGGCCAGCATGTGGGGTGGGGCAGCTGAGGGGACTGTGCTGGCAGCATGCTCCATCCAGGTGAGCTGAAGGACAGCTCTCTCCCCGGCCCTGCTTCCCCAACAGCACACAGTCTCATCTCAGCTTCGTCTATAGCCTTAGATAACCTGCCCGCGCCCCCAGGCCGTAAGGGTGTGACCACGAGTCCGAGGGGCACGCGGGTGATGGGCCGCGTCCCCGCAGGAGGAGTGGGGGCTGCTGGACCCGTCTCAGAAGGAGCTGTACTGGGACGCGATGCTGGAGAAGTATGGCACGGTGGTCTCCCTAGGTGAGGACCGGCCGCGCCCCCAGGCCCTTCCCTGTGCGCCTCCAGCGCGTGTTCGCGTTCCCCCGCCTTCCCAAGGGCGCCCTTGCCACTGGCCAGTGCCCCGACCCGCCCCGGCCGGCACTGGCGCTGACCGCCCCGCCCGGCAGGGTTGCCGCCCCCGCGGCGGGAGGCGCCGGCCGAGTCGGAGCCGCGGGCGCTGAGTGCGGGGACCGAGGGCCCAGGAAGCCTGCGCACGGGTGAGTGCGGCTCAGTGTGAGCGTTCCCGGGGGCGGGGGCGGGGACAGGGGCTGGGCCCGCCCTCTCGCGCCTGGGGGAGGGACTGGCCAGTGTCGCGGGCCCGGGGCCACCCGGTGCCGCCTCTCCTTCCCCAGGAGACGAAAGCGAGAGCCCCCGCGAGGGTCCGGCCGGCCGCCCGGAGGCCCGGCCGCTACGGGGCCCCGCGTCTGGCGCCTGGGAGGGCCCGTCCGGGGCCGCCGCGCCCGCCCCGCTGTCGCCGGGGCCCGCTGGCCGGGGGATGCCCCCGGCGCGCTCCGCACCCGCGGCCCCGGGGGCGCGGCCGGAGCCGGGCGGCCCGCGAAGGAAGCCCTACACGTGCGAACAGTGCGGCCGCGGCTTCGACTGGAAGTCGGTGTTTGTCATCCACCACCGCACACACGCGGGCGCACGGGTGCCGGCCCTGGCCGGCGGGGCCTCGGAGAAGCCGCCGCAGAGTCCCCGGGAGCCGGGCGCGCCCCGCCACCCCCGGCGCGCGCCCCCGGGCCCGCGGAGCTACGCGTGCGAGGAGTGCGGGCGCAGCTTCAGCTGGAAGTCGCAGCTGGTCATCCATCGCAAGAGCCACGCCGGCCAGCGGCGCCACTTCTGCGGAGACTGCGGCCGCGGCTTCGACTGGAAGTCCCAGCTGGTCATCCACAGGAAGAGCCATCGGCCCGAGGCCCCCTGAGCCTCGCCTCAGGGGCCCGCTGCTCGGCCTCAGTCTGGGAGATTGGACTCAATCAGAGTTCCCGGGGGTCCCCTGCCCCTGGCTCAGTCTCCCCCAAAAAAGCCACCTGGGTGCAAAGAAAAGAAGCGCCCCGCCCCCCCTCCCAATCTAGAGTGAGGCCTGGGTTCAATCCACCGCTGACCAGTGGCAGCCAGGTGACTTCCAGGCTCCGAGCTCCCCACCTGTGACATGGTGCAGGCTGACGACTCTCCCTGCCCCTGGGACCTCCCTGGCCCCTGGTGGATGCTCAAAAACTGCCCCTTCCCACACCTGAAAGCGGCTGGGCCAAGGTCTGTGTGTGGAAGGTGCCGGAAAACCCTGGAGAGCATGGCCTGCTTCTGTTTGCAGGCAGATGGAAGACTAATGGCCCTCTATGTGCGTTTTAGATTTTTAGCAAATACCACTTTTATAATGAAGTTTTTGCATAAGAATCCTCATTTCTGGCTTCTGCTGATCACAAGATCAGCTGGAACCACAGAGCAGCCATACCCACAAGAAGGGCCCACAGTCCTGGACCCCCAGCCTACCTTGTTCCTTGGTTGCCCACGTCACTCCCTGGTGTTCTCTTTTGACCTCTCAAATCCCAGCTTGAGTGGACACTAAGGGAGCTTCCTTTCCAATATGGATGGACAAGGGTGGCCTCTGAGAAAAGGGGCCATAAACGTGTCACTTAGCCATGCACGCCTGCGTGAGGGCTGCACCCCCACAGCCCACGCAGTTGGTCAGTCGGTCACAAAACAAGAGAACAAAGGATCAGCTGCCTACTGCCCACAGAGGTCGGTCTGGATTTCTGGGCAGTTGTTTGGGACTTTGGCCAATGCCCTGTATTAGTTTCCTATTGTTGCTCTAACAAACATGGTGGCTTGAAACAACACAAATTTATTATTATGTTACAACTCTGAAATGGGTCTCACAGAGCTAAATCAAGGTCTCAGCAGGGCTGGTTCCTCCTGAAGGCTCTAGAGAAGAATCCATTTTATTGCCTTTTCTAGCTTCTAGAGACCACTACCTTCCTTGGTTTATGGCCCCTTTGTCCATCTTCAAAGCCCAACAGTGAGTGGTCAAGTCTGTCTTAATGCTCCCATCTCTAGCTCCGACTCTTTTGCCCCCTCCTTACAAGGTCACTTGGGGTCACATTTAGGGCTCACCTGGTAGTCTGTGATAATCTCCCTGTCTCAGGGTTCTCCATCACATCTGGTCCAGTCCCCACCCTCACACTTGATCTCTTCAGCAAAATTCCTTTTGTGTCTGAGATAACATATTCATGGGTTCTAGGGATTAGACCATGGATGTCTGGGGGCCGTTATTCAGCACCCTTCCCCATCTCCTTTCGACTCTAAAAACTAGGGACATTTTCATGAAGGATGGTTTCCAGAAACAGGTGCACACAACGAAGGAGCCCTCTGCAGCCTCGGGCACACGCATGAGGGGAGTGGGTGTTGAGGGTGGCTGTGGCCATGGCTACCCAAGCAGGGGAGGGGCCGCCTAGGGGGATCACCTGGCTGGGGGTCTGGACATTGTTGCAGCCTAAAGCTGGGAGGGATAAGTCTCCATGGGGTTGGGGGGAGAGGGGGCTTGTCCCCAGTCTTCTGAGGACCTACTCATCTGTTGCTTGGGGAAGCATGGCCAGACTGGAGGTGGAGCTGGGGGCAGGTGATCTGGTAGGTAAGCAGGAGGTGAGATCCGTGCTGGGGACATGGAGGAAGAGGATGGAGCAGTGCCCATGGGTTCAAGCCACACCCAGGCCAGAAAGGAAAGTGGGGTGGGGGGCATGGCAGGTGGTGAAGGCTCTGAGAGGGTGCAAACCCCACAGGGAAGGCGGAGGGATGGAGGGGAGCACTACACTGAGGAAGAGTGGGCAGGCAGTTGTTTAATAATGTTTTTCGTAACTAAAAGTAGTTTATATTCACTTAGAAAAAGTTGAAATATACCAGAGAGCAAAGAATATCATGAAAATGGTCCCTAATTCCACTGCCTCATGGCAGTGCTCATTCTAGGTGTTCACACTCAGGGTGTTTGTCTTATAAAGCTTCCAGAGAGACTATGTCATTTTGAATCATGCTCTTCTCACTCCCTCATTTCCCTGTGTTATTAAAAACACAACATGTTTTTTAATGCCTGGGTGAAAAATTCCATTTTCTCGCAGGCACTGTCACTTCTGCCGAGCCCATATAGTTCCTTGTTCCCCCCACCCCCACGGTGCCCTGTGCTGTATGAATGCTCCTGAGCACACATTTCGGATGCAGCTCTGGCTATTTCCTCAGAATAAGTCTCCCAAAGTGGGATTGGTGAGTTTAAGGGAGCATGGGGTTTTTCTTTTTAATTTTTGTTTCTGCTGTAAAACGACAAATTATTTCATAGTTCTGGAGGTCAGAAGTTAGACAGTCTCACTACGCTAAAATGGAGGTGTCGGCAGGGCTGCGTTCCTTCTGTAAACTCCAGGGGAGAATCCATTCCTTGCCTTTGCCAGCTCTAGAGTTGGCCTGTGTTCCTGGGCTCATGGCCCCATCCTCCGTCTTCAAAGCCAGCAGCAGCCAGTTGACTCTGTCACACTGCATCACCCATCACCCTGGCACTCTTCTGCCTCCTGCTCCCATTTTTGAGGACCCTTGTGATGACACTGGGCCCACCTGGATACTTCAGGATAATCTCCCTATCTCGAGGTCAGCTGATAGGGCATGGGATTTTAAAATTCTCGATGGCTACATCAAAGCATTTTCCAGAAACATGGGGCCAGTCTGCCTCCCCTCCAGAATGACTCCCCAACAGTTAAGACACCCTAGATTCTTGTTTTCTACTGTCCTCTTCAGTTCCGGAGGCAGAACATGATTGTAGTGTTGTTTCTGTGGATGTGGTCAGGCTGAGCCCTCCTTCCCACATTCGCTCATGTTGCCTCCTCCTCCACGAAGAAAAGGGTATGTGCCACCCCATTTGTCACTTCCTTGTGCATCTGGTCATTAGTGGCTTGAATTTTCATGTATTATATCTGTTGATGTCTTCCATTGCTTTTCTTAGACAGTTTGCCCATTGCGTTCACCCGAGCCAGCTCAGCAGCCTGTCAACTTCCAGGATAGGTTCCAGAATTTACCTCTTCCCATTGGAACTGGGCCAGGCCACCCCTACTGTGGGACCCACTTGCTGCTTCCATTCCCTGGGCTGAGACTGGGCAAAGGCCTGGGGGAGGTGTCTGCCTGTCCCATTCCAGCTGCTTGGGTCCCCGTCGCATCTTATCTGATCCTCATGATGACCTCAGGAGTCTTTCCTCCTCCCCACCTGGGTCTTCCTTCAGGCCCCTTTAACTTTTTTTTTTTGAGGAAGATTGGCCCTGAGCTAACATCTGTTGCCAATCTTGCTCTTTTTGCTTGAGGAAGATTGTTGCTGAGCTAACATCTGTGCCAATCTTCCTCTATTTTGTATGTGGGATGCTGCCACAGCATGGCTTGACGAGTGGTGTGTAGGTCTGCTCCCAGGGTCTGAACCCATGAACCCCAGGCTGTAGAAGTGAAATTAATCAATAAGCCACTGGGCCAGCACCCCCTTTACCTTCTTTAGCCACTACCCCTTGGTTAAGCCTACTTGGGGCCAAGACACACTCCACCACCCTCAGCCCCAGAGATGGCCTGGTGATTAAAGAGCCAGGATTTGACCTGGGTCTGCCTGACTCTGGAAGCATCTGTGGGTGTAGTGTCTAAGGGCTAAAATTAAGGCCCAATATTACGTGCTGCCTTAACACCTGAAACCAGGAGAGTCTCGAAGGGCAAACAGCAAACTCCCCTCCCCACCTTGCTCCTACAGAGAAGAGCCCCATGTCAAACAGCGCTCCTTGGCCAAGGGACTGGGCGCAGTTCCTGCTTATCCCTGAGCAGCAGATTTCAGTTCCCTCTCAGCCTGAAGAATTATTCAAACAGGCTAGTCACATCCTGCAGCAGGAACCAGGGGCCACCTTGGCCTCTTGTTACTACAAAGCCTGCCTCCTGTAGTCTGTTCACTTGGTTCCCAAATGCAAGCCCCCTATGACCCTGCATGGCATGAGGTGTCCTCTTCCCCAGGCTGTGAGTTCATACATCTAATAGACTGCTGTCCATTTCATCTGTCCAAGGTCACGTGTCGTGTATTCATCCATCCCCAAAACCCTAGGGCCAGATGAATAGGAGGTATTATAATGGTGGGCCCCCTTGGTGCAGGCTGACCACTGTGGGAGCCATGATACCAGATGAAGGCACTCCAGACGTAGGGCACCACATGCCCCAAGGTTTTGAGCAGGGCTGGAGCCTGAGTGAGGTAAGCAAGGCACCGCCTGAAGGGATGCCAAAAAACTCAGCCATCAAGACAGATAACAGTTTAGTGCAACATTCTAAAAAAAAAAAATTAATGCAAATATCATAAAATGTTAAGTTTTAACGTAGAGATTTTTTTTTTTTTTAAAGATTGGCCCCTGGGCTATCAACTGTTGCCAATCTTTTTTTTTTTTTTTTCTGCTTTATCTCCCCAAATTCCCCCGTACACAGTTGTATATCTTAGTTGCAGGTCCTTCTAGTTGTGGGATGTGGGATGCCGCCTCAATGTGGCCCGATGAGTGGTGCCATGTCCGCGCCCAGGATCCGAACCCTGGGCCGCTGCAGCGGAGCGCGCGAACTTAGCCACTTGGCCACGGAGCCGGCCCCTAACGTAGAGATTTTTAGCAGCTTTATAGAGATATAATTCACATATCATACAATTCACCCATTTAAAGTGTACAATTCAGTGGTTTTTAGTATATTCACAGAGTTGTGCATCCACCATCATAAATTTAGAACATCTTCTCACAACTCCTCCCAACTTACACCTATTAGCAGCCATCCCCAACTCTTCCTCCCCTCAGCCCCCGGCAACCACTAATCTCCTTTCTGTCTCTGTAGATATCTCAATGTTTCATTCTTTTTTTTGTTGCTGAATCATATTCCATTGTATGCACTTTCCACATTTGTTTATACATTCCTAAGGTGATGGACATTTGGGTTATTTGCACTTTTTGACTACCGTGAATAAGGCTGCTGTGCACATTCCCGCAGACGTCTTTGTATGGACATGTTTTCATCTCTCTTGGGTATAAACCTAGAAGTGGAATTGCTGGCTCAGACATAACTTATGTTTAATCTTTTGAGGACTGTGTTCCAAAGCAGCTGCACCATTTTACATTCCCACTAGTAGGGTACAAGGGTTTCGATTTCTCCATATCCTCCCTAACTCTTGTTATTGTCTGTCATTTTTATTATAACCATGCTAATGGATGTGAAGTATAATGAAGAGATTTTATGGGATCCACCTTTCTAATCATAATCCAATAAATTTAGAAATAAGATGACAAAAAAGTAAACTATTTGACAATCAAGATAGTCTCCTGAAAAGAACTCTGGATCAAAGAAGGGTATCGATAT